ATTGTTTGTAGATTTTTTTTTTTTTTTTTTTGTGGTACACGGGCCTCTCACTGTTGTGGCCTCTCTCGTTGTGGAGCACAGGCTCCGGATGCGCAGGCTCAGCGGCCATGGCTTACAGGCCCAGCCGCTACGCAGCATGTGGGATCCTCCTGGACGGGGGCGCGAACCCGCGTCCCCTGCATCGGCAGGCGGTCTCTCAACCACTGCGCCACCAGGGAAGCCCAATTGTTTGTAGGTTTTTTGATTATGGCCATTCTGACTGGTGTGAGATGATATCTCGTTGTAATTTTGATTTGCATTTCTCTAATGATTAATGATGTTGATCATTCTTTCATGTGTTTGTTGCCAATCTGTATATCTTCTTTGGAGAAATGTCTATTTAGGTCTTCTGCCCATTTTTGGATTGGGTTGTTTGTTGTTTTGTTATTGAGCTGCATGAGCTGCTTGTAAATTTTGGAGATTAATCCTTTGTCAGTTGCTTCATTTGCAAATATTTTCTCCCATTCTGAGGGTTGTCTTTTCGTCATGTTTATGGTTTCCTTTGCTGTGCAAAAGCTTTTAAGTTTCATTAGGTTCCATTTGTTTACTTTTGTTTTTATTTCCATTTCTCTAGGAGGTGGGTCAAAAAGGATCTTGCTGTGATTTATGTCATAGAGTGTTCTGCCTATGTTTTCCTCTAAGAGTTTGATAGTTTCTGGCCTTACATTTAGGTCTTTAATCCATTTTGAGCTTATTTTTGTGTATGGTGTTAGGGAGTGTTCTAATCTCATACTTTTACATGTACCTGTCCAGTTTTCCCAGCACCACTTATTGAAGAGGCTGTCTTTTCTCCACTGTATATTCTTGACTCCTTTATCAAAGATAAGGTGACCATATGTGCATGGGTTTATCTCTGGGCTTTCTATCCTGTTCCATTGATCTATATTTCTGTTTCTGTGCCAGTACCATGCTGTCTTGATTACTGTAGCTTTGTAGTGTAGTCTGAAGTCAGGGAGCCTGATTCCTCCAGCTCCATTTTTTGTTCTCAAGGTTGCTTTGGCTATTCGGGGTCTTTTGTGTTTCCATACAAATTGTGAAATTTTTTGTTCTAGTTCTGTGTAAAATCCATTTTTGAAGAATGACCCATGGCATTTAGAAAACACAATCCAGGAACAAATTTTGCTGTAACTTTTCTGAAAGTTTGGGGCTTATGGTGTTAAGTTTCATTGGCTTTGTTACCAAATGCAAGTCCCTGTGTCTGACATGCAGTGAGGCCAAACAATACCAAAACGTTGGAGTTTGGAGCACAGAAAGGTTTATTGCAGGGCCATGCAAGGAGATGGGTGGCTTATACCTTAAAAACCCCGAACTCCCTGAAAGCTTTCAGCAAAGCCCTTTATAGGAAAGGTGAGGGAGGGTCATGGTTAGTTGTTGCAAATGTCTTGGTGTCAGATTCTTTGTTCTTGAGTCAGGTCATGGTCAGGTCACGATGTTCCTGTAAACCTCCACCAAAATAAACAGTATTCTGTGTTCTGACAAGGGCAAGGTCCCAAGGCTCTACTTTCATCCTCTGAGGTCCAGGCCTGGCCAAGAGGAGGGGTCCCTGCATGAGCCGGTTACCCTTCCGGGGAGCGTTTGTCCAGCACCCAGTCTGAGTCCTCCCGCCAGTGCCCAGCCCCGGCTGAGGAGGCAGATCTCAGCTGGCGGAACCCTTAGGGCCAGGTCCCCAGACCCTGCCCAGCCGTCATCACTGAGGAAGCCAGGTGCCCAGGACCCAACTGGCCCTCTGACTCCTCAGGGCACCCAAACAGTGGCCGGGACCCATGGAGATGTCACCGCCCTTTGGTCGAGGAGGTGGGGATGGGGGAGAGATTCGTTGCTGCTTCCAGGCCTGGGCCTGGCCAGTGGGTGGCTTTGGCGAGTGCTCTGGAGCTCTGCGGGACATAGCCCTCAGCCTGTCCCTGGGCCTCCCAGCTCACCCGCCAGGCCCGAAGCCAGAGGGCCTGGAGGGCCCGAGGGAGAAGGACGCGATCCACCTCTCACTGCACTCTCTGCCATGAGGACCACTGTGAGGCTGACTGTTGGCAGAGCGGGACCTCTAACCGCCAAGCCAACGGTCATGCTAAAGGCCGCGTACCTGCCCCACTTTCCATCTCCCTCATGTCCATCTGTTTAGTTTGGGTCCTTACAGTCTTAGGGGAATTAGACCTATCATTTCCTAGTGATGAAGATAAGAAGACTATAATACTATAAACTAGTCTTCTGTTTCCAGATCAATGATGGGATTGCAAGGATTGGTGCTTCATGGTAATGTAGCTGTGAAATGTCAAAACACAAACTGCGCAACATAAAATGTAACATTTGTTTAATTCAGACTGAACAAGAGTATAAACCACTTCCATTTCTTGATCTAATGATGAGAGGTTTACAGGGCTGCGGACTCCCTACCCAAGAGACTCCTCTATACTACTGAAAATTTGACTATTAGAGATAAATTTCATTGGGTCTTCGAGGTTCATAGACTTTTGAAGTGTTCAAGGGTCCTCCATTAATAGAGATACGTATCAGTGTTCTCTTAGAGGGAATTAGTTGACAGTTCAGAGCTCTGAAGGTACGGAGCAGACATTCATGGACATGTGGGAGTAGGGTTGTGGTTAGGGAAGTGTGGAAGTAAGGAGGGGAGTGGAAAGTGGAACCATAAACAAACTTTTAATAATCCACAATAACCCAAGGCAGGCACTGTTCTCTTCTGTTATTTATAAAGACTGTAGCATTATCTATTACTGTACAAAGGATTGTTTTTTTAAAAGTTTTTTTCCCCTTATATTGATGGGAGGTATATTATAGATCTGGTATATTTTTCTGGGATTCTTCAACATGTTGTTAAGAAAATCTGTCCTAGTCTCAGACCAGTCTCTCAGCTTTTGTTTGGAAAATATGGAAACCATACTTTAAAAAAAAATTGAGGTGACTGATCAACAAAAGTGTGGAATATTTTAAAAAACTGGGGCATCTTATCAACAAAAGCTTGAAATTAAAAAAGTGTTGATACTTAATTCCTCATTTATTTTACTGCAAATGGAAACATTTATACTTTAAAAAGTTAATCTGTTCCTTAGTATTTCCGTACCATTTTAACAATATGAGATGGGAAATTAAACGTCTCAGTGTGGCCATAAAATTTGCTCAGGAAACTAAGAAAAATCACAAATATTATTTAAATCAGAGATTTACTGAAACACTAAATGAAGATTCTGTTCTACAGATTGCTTAATGATTAGTAATCGAACGCATTGAAAAGGATAAAGCACTTAAACATGAAGCAGTGATCCTATACAGTCTTTCCCCATTACTTTTAGTGAGTATGGAGCCGTTTTAGCTGAATAGAAATAACTGTTCAATCCAGACTTTGTTGGAAGGTTTCCTTAAAGAACCTGGCAAAAAATTTACAAAGGATGCCAAACAACCATTTTTGTCCTTACATGAGTTCTCGCAATAGATTTCTTGTGTAGTCTTCATAATGGACTGAGCTATATTTGCATATGGATATGTCTAGTATCCTCTGGCTCCTTCTCCTTCACTCTTCTTCCCCTTTAGTTTTTGGTGCTTGACTTTCTTAGCTGGAGGATGATGGGACACCTCATTCAGGTACTTGGTGATCATTGATGTTGTGGCCACCGGTCTGCAGAGTATTTGGTCAATGTCATAGATGGGCTGGCTTTCTAGATCATTACCAGCTGTATCTAAGGAGGCTTGTTTCTTCAGTTAAAAGGAGAAAAAAAATATTAGAGATTTTTTTATTACTGTAGTTCAAATTAAATTTGTTTTCTGGATATATACACTTAAACTCCAAATACCACATGTTAGTTATTTATGCAAAGAAAAAGTTACTGTAGATGAAAGGTATAAATGCAGAAGAAATGCTCTTTTTTATATGCCCTTGTATAAGGTTATAGCGATCATTATCACCATCGGCAAACATTTAATAAGTACTTTCTGTGATCAGAGCATTCTGCTGGGAGGAATTATTTGAATATTAGTAAAATATTTTCCTTTACTAAACAACCTTAAGGTATAATGTGATAAAGTCATAGTCATTTTATAAATATCTAATTGTTGTGAAGGTCAATGAGCTTTTAAGATTGCCTCAAAATACGGTGTCACTGGCAAAGTGGGAAATTAGTTTAAGAGTGCTATTTTCCAGAAAGTTATACTAAAATTAGAAATTAGTTTGCAGTCCATTAAAAAAACACATGCCGACTTTTGTATACTTAGCTTTCTTAGACAGATCGGGAAGGGATCTAACAAAATGTCGTTCCATATCCTTAATTTTATGGATCAGGCAGCTGAGAAAGATACAATGACTTACCTAAGGGCCCAGACAGATACCTTCACTTCCTATGCATTCTATTCACTGTAGCTCACTACTTTCTTGGTGTGTTTCGTAACTTAAAATAATCTATCTAAAATTAATAGGTTATTTTAAGGACCTTCTAATTGAGTACACCTTTGCTGAACCCCTGACACATGCAAGAAACTGCTACATGCTGGGGATGAATGGTGGAAATTGGGGAGGTTATGAAGAAGAATAAGACATGGTTCTTTCTCTCAAAGAAGATGATAATCTTATCTTTTAAACTCTTTGATAGTCTATATTATTATTTGCATCACTAATTCACCTTTTTTTTGTGTTTCTTCCATTTCACCCACAGGTAATGAGCAGATAAAACAGACAGGATTGAAAAGAGAACTTGTACTAAAATATAAATAAGATGTAAAAGACACTGAAATATATCCATACTAGCAAAATTGCAGCATAGTTTGTTCAGAGGGTAAGGTAGACGGTGAGATGGAGAAGGCTTAACTTTCAAATGATGCGTTTCTTCTGGAAAAATCTCCCATCCAACCTTTGTCCAGGTAGTGCCATCACAAATGCAGAAGCTCTCCCTGAAGAAGCAGATAAACAACAGAGGAAAAATCAGGGATAGTCCTTGAGAAGGCATCTTTCTTTCTCAAATGGAAAAAGCATTTATAGTCAAAAATTGGTTACAGAGAGAGCAGAAATGCCCTGAGTATTAGTTAACATGGTGTTCCAGTCAAAGCACTGAAGATACTTTTACTAGTCAGCAAAATATACACTGATGATCACTGTAACATCATCAGTCATAGTGATTCAGGGATAAATTCAGTGATGTCATAGAGAACCACACTGGACTGAAAAGGTGTTGCCTAGCCAATCACCTTGGATTTCTTAGGAACACTTTTTCTTGTTTTTTTCCAGAATAGTTTGAGCCTCTTCAGTTTTCTGAAAAACAAATACCTTACTAATATTTTGCTAGCTAATAAATTTAAATTGTAATTATCTTAATAGAATTTCATGGAAACAACTTACCTATATCCTTTCCAACCCTTTTTTTTTTTACATCTTTATTGGACTATAATTGCTTTACAATGGTGTGTTAGTTTCTGCTGTATAACAAAGTGAATCAGCTATATGTATACATATATCCTCCCAAATCCCCTACCTCTGCATCTCCCTCCCACCCTCCCTATCCCATCCCTCTAGGTGGTCACAAAGCATGGAGCTGATCTCCCTGTGCTATGCGGCTGCTTCCCACTAGCTATCTATTTTACATTTGGTAGTGTATATATGTCCATGCCACTCTCTCACTTCGTCCCAGCTTACCTTTCCCCTCCCAGTGTACTCAAGTTCATTCTCTATGTCTGTGTCTTTATTCCTGTCCTGCCCCTAGGTTCTTCAGCACCATTTTTTTTTTTAAGATTCCATATATATGTGTTAGCGTACAGTATTTGTTTTTCTCTTTCTGACTTATTTCACTCTGTATGATAGACTCTAGGTCCACCTCACTACAAATAACTGAATTTCGTTTCTTTTTATGGCTGAGCAAAATTCCATTGTGTATATGTGCCACATCTTCTTTATCGATTCATCGGATCTTTGTCCATCCATGTTGATGGATAGTTAGGTTGCTTCCATGTCCTGGCTATTGTAAATAGCGCTGTAATGAACATTGTGGTGCATGACTCTTTTTGAATTGTGATTTTTTCAGGTTATAGGCCCAGTAGGGGGATTGCTGGGTCATATGGTAGTTCTATTTTTAGTTTTTTAAGGCACTTCCATACTGTTCTCCATAGTGGCTGTATCAATTTACATTCCCGCCAACAATGCAAGAGGGTTCCCTTTTCTCCACACCCCCTCCAGCATTTATTGTTTGTAGATTTTTTTTTTTTTTTTTTGCGGTACGTGGGCCTCTCACTGTTGTGGCCTCTCCTGTTGCGGAGCACAGGCTCGGACGCGCAGGCTCAGCGGCCATGGCTTATGGGCCTAGCCGCTCCACGGCATGTGGGATCTTCCCGGACCGGGGCACGAACCCGTGTCCCCTGCATCGGCAGGCGGACTCTCAACCACTGCGCCACCAGGGAAGCCCAATTGTTTGTAGATTTTTTGATGATGGCCATTCTGACTGGTATGAGGTGATACCTCATTGTAGTTTTGATTTGCATTTCTCTAATGATTACTGATGTTGAGCATCTTTTCATGTGTTTGTTAGCAATCTGTATATATTCTTTGGAGAAATGTCTATTTAGGTCTTCTGCCCAGTTTTGGATTGGGTTGTTCGTTTTTTTTGATATTGAGCTGCATGAGCTGCTTGTATATTTTGGAAACTAATCCTTTGTCAGTTGCTTCATTTGCAAATATTTTCTCCCATTCTGAGGGTTGTCTTTTCATCATGTTTACAGTTTCCTTTGCTGTGCAAAAGCTTTTAAGTTTCATTAGGTCCATTTGTTTATTTTTATTTCCATTTCTCTAGGAGGTGGGTCAAAAAAGATCTGTGATTTTTGTCATAGAGTGTTCTGCCTATGTTTTCCTCTAAGAATTTGTTAGTGTCTGGCCTTACATTTAGGTCTTTAACCCATTTTGAGTTTATTTTTGTGTATGGTGTTAGGGAGTGTTCTAATTTCATTCCTTTACATGTAGCTGTCCAGTTTTCCCAGCACCACTTATTGAAGAGGCTGTCTTTTCTCCATTGTGTATTCTTGCCTCCTTTATCAAGATAAGTTGACATATGTGCGTAGATTTATCTCTGGGCTTTCTATCCTGTTCCATTGATCTATATTTCTGTTTTTGTGCCAGTACTATACTGTCTTGATTCCTGTAGCTTTGTAGTATAGTCTGAAGTCAAGGAGCCTGATTCCTCCAGCTCCGTTTTTCTTTATCAAGATTGCTTGGGCTATTCAGGATCTTTTGTGTTTCCTTACAAATTGTAAATTTTTGGTTCTAGTTCTGTGAAAAATGCCATTGGTAGTTTGATAGGGATTGCACTGAATCTGTAGATTGCTTTGGGTAGTATAGTCATTTTTACAATGTTGATTCTTCCAATCCAAGAACATGGTATATGTCTCCATCTGTTTGTATCATCTTTAATTTCTTTCATCAGTGTCTTATAGTTTTCTGCATACAGATCTTTTGTGTCCTTGGGTAGGTTTATTCCTAGGTATTTTATTCTTTTTGTTGCAGTGGTAAATGGGAGTGTTACCTTAATTTCTCTTTCAGATTTTTCATCATTAGTGTATAGGAATGCAAGAGATTTCTGTGCATTAATTTTGTATCCTGCAACTTTACCAAATTCATTGATTAGCTCTAGTAGTTTTCTGGTAGCATCTTTAGGATTCTCTATGTATAGTATCATGTTATCTGAAAACAGTGACAGTTTTATTTCTTCTTTTCCGATTTGGATTCCTTTTATTTCTTTTTCTTCTCTGATTGCTGTGGCTAAAACTTCCAAAACTATGTTGAATAAGAGAGGTGAGAGTGGGCAACCTTGTCTTGTTGTTGGTCTTAGTGGAAATGCTTTCAGTTTTTCACCATTGAGAACAATGTTGGCTGTGGGTTTGTCATGTATGGCCTTTATTATGTTTAGGTAAGTTCCCTCTATGCCTACTGGAGGGTTTTTATCATAAATGGGTGTTGAATTTTGTCAGAAGCTTCTTCTGCATCTATTGAGATTATCATACGGTTTTTCTCCTTCCATTTGTTAATATGGTGTATCACATTGATTGATTTGCGTATGTTAAAGAATCCTTCCATTCCTGGGATAAACCCCACTTGATCATGGTGTATGATCCTTTTAATGTTCTGTTGGACTCTGTTTGCTAGTATTTTGTTGAAGATTTTTGCATCTATGTTCATCAGTGATATTGGCCTGTATTTTTCTTTCTTTGTAACATCTTTGTCCGGTTTTGGTATCAGGGTGATGGTGGCCTCATAGAATGAGTTTGGGAGTGTTCCTCCATCTGCTATATTTTGGAAGAGTTTGAGAAGGATAGGTGTTAGCTCTTCTCTAAATGTTTGATAGAATTCGCCTGTGAAGCCACCTGGTCCTGGGCTTTTGTTTGTTGGAAGATATTTAATCACAGTTTCAATTTCATTACTTGTGACCGGTCTGTTTTTATTTTCTATTTCTTCCTGGTTAAGTTTTGGAAGGTTATGCTTTTCTAAGAATTCGTCCATTTCTTCCAGGTGTCAATTTTATTGGCATATAGCTGCTTGTAGTATTCTCTCATGATCCTTTGTATTTGTGCAGTGTCAGTTGTTACTTCTTTTTTTTAAAATTTATTTTATTTTATTTATTTTAATTTTGGCTGCATTGGGTCTTCGTTGCTGCACACGGGTTTTCTCTGGTTGCGGTGAGCGGGGGCTACTCTTTGTTGTGGTGCACAGGCTTCTCATTGTGGTGGCTTCTCTTGTTGGGAGCACGGGCTCTAGGTGTGCGGGCTCAGTAGTTGTGGCTCACGGGCTCTAGAGCACAGGCTCTGTAGTTGCTCCGCAGCATGTGGGATCTTCTCGGATTAGGGCTCGAACCCATGTGTCCTGCATTGGCAGGGGGATTCTTAACCACTGTGCCACCAGGGAAGCCCCTGTTACTTCTTTTTCATTTCTAATTCTATTGATTTGAGTCTTTTCCCTTCTTTTCTTGATGAGTCTGGCTACCAGTTTATCAATTTTGTTTATCTTCTCAAAGAACCAGCTTTTAGTTTTATTGATCTTTGCTATTGTGTCCTTCATTTATTTATTTTTTTATTTCTGATCTGATTTTCATCATTATTTTCCTTCTGCTGACTTTGGGGTTTTTTTGTTCTTCTTCCTCTAATTGCTTTAGGTGTAAGGTTAGGGTGTTTATTTGAGGTTTTTCTTGTTTCTTGAGATAGGATTGTATTGCTATAAACTCCCCTCTTAGAACTGCTTTTGCTGTATCCCATAGGTTTTGGGTGGTCATGTTTTCATTGTCATTTGTTTCTAGGTATTTTTTGATTTCCTCTTTGATTTCTTCAGTGATCTCTTGGTTACTTAGTAGTGTGTATTGGGGTGTCTGTGAACTTATTATGCTTTTAGGCAGCCTCTCTGCTGATGGGTGGGGTTGCGCTCCTGTTTTGCTAGTTGTTTGGCATGGGGTGTCCAGCAGTGGAGCTTGCTGGTCGCTGAGCGGAGCTGGGTCTTAGCGTTGAGACGGAGATCTCTGGGAGAGCTCTCGCTGATTGATATTACGTGAGGCTGGGAGGTCTGTGGTGGCCCAATGTCCTGAACTCGGCTCTCCCACCTCAGAGGCTCAGGCCTGACACCCGGCCAGAGCACCAAGACCCTGTTAGCCACACGCTCAGAAGAAAAGGGAGAAAAAAAAGAAAGAAAAATAAAATAAGTTATTAAAATTAAAAAACTAATTAAAAAAAAGAGAGCAACCACACCAGTAAACAAATCCGCCAATGATAACAAGTGCTGAAAACTATACTAAGATAAACATAAAAATCGGAAACTAGTCTGTTGCATACAGCAAACCCCAAGTCTACAGTTGTTCCCAAAGTTCACGGCCTCAGTTTTGGGACGATTTGTTGTCTATTCAGGTATTCCACAGTTGCAGAGTAGATCGAGTTGATTGTGGAGATTTAATGCACTGCTCCTCAGGCTGCTGGGAGAGATTTCCCTTTCTCTTCTTTGTTCACACAGCTCCTGGGGTTCACCTTTGGATTTGGCCCCGCCTCTGCGTGTAGGTCGCCTGAGGGCGTCTATTCTTCGCCCAGACAGGAGGGGGTTAAAGGAGCAGCTGATTGGGGGGCTCTGGCTCACTCAGGCTGGGGGGAGGGAGGGGTACAGTAGTTATAATTCGAATGTGGGGTGAGCCTGTGGCAGAGGCTGGCGTGATGTTGCAATAGCCTGAGGTGCCCCGTGTGTTCTCCCAGGGAAGTTGTCCCTGATCCCAGGACCCTGGCAGTGACGGGCTACAAGGCTCCCGGGAGGGCAGGTGGGGATAGTGACCTGTGCTTGCACTCGGGATTCTTGGTGGCTGCAGTAGCATCCTTAGCATTTCATGCACGTCTCAGGTGTCTGCGCTGATAGCCGCGGCTCGCGCCCGTCTCTGGAGCTCCTTTAAGCAGAGCTCTTAATCCCCTCTCCTCGCGCACCAAGAAACAAAGAGGGAAGAAAAAGTCTCTTGACTCTTAGGTCCAGACTTTTTCCCGGACTCCCTCCCGGGTAGCTGTGGCACACTAGCCTCCTTCAGGCAGTGTTCACGCAGCCAACCCCAGTCCTCTCCCTGGGATCCGACCTCCGAAGCCCGAGCCTCAGCTCCCAGCACCCACCAGTCCCGGCCGGCAGGTGAGCAGACAAGCCTCTCAGGCTGGTGATTGCTAGTTGGCAGCGATCCTTTGTGCGGGAATCTCTCCGCTTTGCCCTCTGCACCCCTGTTGCTGTTCTCTCCTCTGTGGCGCCGAACCTTACCACACATCCCCCCCCGCCCCGTCTCCACCAGTGAAGGGGCTTCCTAGTGTGTGGAAACTTTTCCTTCTTCACAGCTCCCTCCCAGAGGTGCAGGTCCCATCCCTATTCTTTTGTCTCTGTTTTTTCTTTTGCCCTACCCAGGTACGTGGGGAGTTTCTTGCCTTTTGGGAAGTCTGAGGTCTTCTGCCAGCATTCAGGAGGTGTTTTGTAGGAGCTGTTCCACTTCTAGATGTACTTTTGATGTATTTGTGGGGAGGAAGGCGATCTCCGCGTCTTACTCCTCTACCATCTTGAAGATCCTCCCCAACCCTTTTGAAGTATGGTACTTTCACATCTACTTACAAAGTAGCTATAGCTGTATCATTTCATACAACCTAGCATCTGCTTCTGTTTTTTTCATTCTGGAATGTCCTTCCCTTCAAATAGTAAGGCAAATGCTGAGTCCCTCCTCCTTTTGACCTATGTCTTTTTGGTGGCAATGTGGTACTATCAGGTAGTGGGTGAGGGGTGGGGAATTTGGCGTGGTAAGTGAAAAAGAGATGGTGAGGCTGCATGGCATATGATAAGAAGGTGACACAGACTCTGCCTTTAAGGAACCTACAGTCTAGAGGTAGAAGCAAAAAACAGGATAACAAAAAATTACAAGACAGATTAAGCTAAATCAGATTATAATCATGTCACAATTGATAGAACAATGAGATCTACCTGGGGGAATTAGAAGTTTCACAGAAGTGCATTTTAAAGTAAGCTTTGAAGAATGAGTAGAATTTTGGTGGGTGGCAATGCAGAGAGGGCATTTTAGGTTGAGGAAACATAATAAGCAAAGAAATTCTGTGTAAACCTTTAAACAACCATTTATAAATATTTATTGAGCACCTCCTATGTGCTAAATACTGTTCTAGGAGCTGAGAATACATACAGAACTAGGCATAAAACAATCTTTATGTTTATGGAGTTTACTTTGTGGTAGGGAGACACAGAAAATAAAATTATCTAAATCTATGTATCTATGCAGTGTTACGGAGAAAAATAGAGTGGTAACGGGGTTATGAAGTTGCCAGCAAGTGAGAGTGTGTTATTTTATAGAGGGCAATCAGGAGAGGCTTCTCTGTTAAGGTGATGCTCGAGCAGAGACCTGAGGAAATGAAGGAGTGAGCCTGGGAGCAGAGGGAACAGGGGGTAAATAATGGACAGGGTCTCTGGATGAATGTTGCAAGGGATGAAGCTGGAAAGATATTTTGTGGCTAGATAGATCTTGGAAGGCCCCACATTTTATTCAGTAGTCAATTGGGAGTCATTTACAGAGTTTTGAGGAGAGGAGTGACAATAATAATAAACTTATTGAGTGCTCTACTGTGTGACAGGCACTGTGTCAAGACGTCTGCATGCATTATACTATAATACATTGCGTTTAATTCTTACAACAACCCTATGAGGATGGTGCTATAATACTTCCATTTTCTAGATGGAGAAACTGAGGTTAGTGGGGTTAAGATATTGCTATGGTCTGAAAGTTTGTGTTCCCCCCAAATTCATATGTTGAAATCCTAATGCCCAATGTGATGGTATTAGGAAGTGGGGCCTTTGGGAGATGCTTAGGACATGAAGGTGGAGCCCTCGTGAATGGGATTAGTGTTCTTATAAAAGAGTCCCCACAGAGTTCCCTAGCCCCATCCACTATGTGAGGGCACAGTGAGAAGGTGCTGGCAATAAAGGAAGAGGGTTTTCACTAGACTGCAACCATGTTGACAGCTTGATCTTGGACTTCCCAGCCTCCAGAACTGTGAAAAATAAGTTTCTGTTGTTTATAAACTACATAGTCTGTGGTATTTTGCAGCCTGAATGCAGTAAGACAGGTATGGTGGCATTAAGAGGATGCTTGCAGTAAGCTCCTTTCTCTACCAAGCTACCCCAAATAAATATATGCTGTTAGTAAAATCGGTGTGCTTATTATATAAATGCAGTTCTATGACAAGTCCCTTAGTCCCCTCTTCCAGCTAATTCCTCTGCTAAACTTCATCCTGTATTGAAATTCTGGGGCCACTACTGACTCCAGATCACCCAGCTAGTGGAGCCAAAACCTAAACCTTGGATTCCAGTTTAGGGAATTAATTCTGTTTGCAACATGAATGGCGGGTTTGAAGCTGTGACTGACAAAACTATTCAGCTGCAAAAACGTGCTGTCTTTCATGAAAAAGGAAGATGACTCAGGCTGGAGCTGCAGGCCAAGAGGATGGAGCCTTACACCAGAGATGATTATCCCCAGGCTTTGATACCTAATAGAATTTGCCCTGTGGGACTTCAAAATTACTTGGGAGTGTGGTGACTCCTTTTTTCCTCTAATTTCTCACTTTTGGAATGGCATTATCTATAACTGTTGCTCTGTGCCTGTCCCACCATTGTATTTTGGGAGCAGAGAACTTTGTTTTCTAGTTTCACAGGTCTACAGATGGAGAGGAATTTTACCCCAAGATAGATGGGTCATACTAATGTCTCATGCATACCTTGTTTAGATGATGAGATGAGACTTTTGAGCTGATGATATTTTAGATGAGCATTTGGACATGAGTTGATGTTGTAATGGGTTGAAGCTTTTGGATGTTGGCATGGGGTAAATGTATTTTGCATGGGGGATATGTAGGAGTTTTGGGAGGTCAGAGGGCCGACTGTGGTAGGCTGAAAAAAGTCTGCCAAAGATATCTAGGTTTTAATCCCTGGAACCTGTCAATGTTACCTCATATGGGATTTTGCAGATCCTTAAATTAAGGATCTTCAGATGGGGAGATTATCCTGGATTATCCAGGTGGGACCTAAATGTAATTACAAGTGTCCTTATTATAAGTGAGAGGCAGGAGATTTGACACAGAAGAGGAGAACGTGATTTTTCTGTACGCGGGCCTCTCACTGTTGTGGCCTCTCCCATTGCGGAGCATAGGCTCTGGACGCGCAGGCTCAGCGGCCATGGCTCACGGGCCCAGCCGCTCCGCAGCATGTGGGATCTTCCCGGACCGGGGCACGAACCCGTGTCCCCTGCATCAGCAGGCGGTCTCTCAACCACTGCGCCACCAGGGAAGCCCAGGAGAAGGTGATTTGATGATGGAGCTAGACATTGGAGTGGTGTAGTTTGATTGAAGATGGAGGAAGGAGGCACAGCCAAGGGGTACAGGCTGCCACTAGAGGTTGAAAACAGCAAGAAAATAGATTCTCCCTTCAGAGCCCCCAGAAAGAATCTCCCCTGCCAACACAATCAGCTAAACTGATTTCAGGCTTTTTGCCTCTAGAATTGTAAGGGGATAAACTATAAACTTGTGTTGCTTTAAGCCACCAAATTTATGGCAATTTGTTATAGCAGCCACAGGAAACGAATACATCAATTGTTAAATTAATTTGAGGCTAATCTACCATTTACTATATTCAGTTGTTCTAAGAATATGGTAAAGCTTTCCATTTACTTGAGTTTTTTATTTCTCTCAAAATGTTGTAATTTTGTTTAAACAGGTCTTGCAAATTTTGCGACGTGTGCTATAGAGAATGGAATTATTTTAAACACTTTTTTTTTTTAAAGAGGGAAGCTATTTGAATTTATTTTGAAGGATAAAGAAGGGTAAAGCAAGTGACAGTTTTTCTCTTGGAAATGTTTTTTGTTCCTTTCCCCAGAGTAGGTATTTTGATAGACGATAGTCTCTTTGGTATCGGGTATCACATTTTATGTTTATTTGCTCTTTAAAAATTTTAGCACAATTCTAGGAATACAGTGAGTGCCCCAAAGTGCTGTGCTAGTTGAATGTTATCCTTTTGAAGTTCCCCAAGGAAAACAACTGCAACAAATCTCCTATACAGTCTTTATAAAACTCTGGGGATATAAATGTACATTACAAGCATGTAATGTTTGTCATGCATATTTTTTGGTCTTTGTCTTATTAATATGCATTTTACTGTTCTATTCTTTCAGATGCAAGGCTGGCGCTAAAAAAATATATTGCAAAGGTCTCTGCAATTGTTACAGATACAGCAAAGGGACCAGGGAAGCTTTTTAGGGAAGACAAGGTACTGCATTGTGATTATAGTTTGCTCTGAAGTCTTCCGAGATTTTTGCCTTGTATCTTTAATTTCTACACTAATGCACTAGAGGTAGGTAGCGGTCCTCACTGCTCTCTTCTCCCTCCCTTCCTTCATTTATTCCTTTTTTTTTTTTTTTTTGGTACGCGGGCCTCTCACTTTTTTGGCCTCTCCCTTTGTGGAGCACAGGCTCGGACGCGCAGGCTCAGCGGCCATGGCTCACGGGCCTAGCCGCTTCGTGGCATGTGGGATCTACCCGGACTGGGGCACGAACCCGTGTCCCCTGCATCAGCAGGCGGTCTCTCAACCACTGCGCCACCAGGGAAGCCCTTTATTTTATTTTATTTTTTATTTTTTTGCATATACATTTATTCGTGTCTCTATTATTACAAACTATAGAGTAATGAACATCTTAAATCAGATATCAGCAGTTTGCTGCTCACGTGCAAAGAGATGGTTTTGCAATGCAAATTGAGAGGTTTTCAGTGAGGTGGAGCTCTTTTTGCATTTCTTGCACTTTCTTCTCCTGTGAACCACCTGAGAAGGAATAAAATATCCTCGGCATTGCCCGTTGAGTTGCATGCAGCTCATACCATCCACCCATTTTTTTCCAACCTTTGCAAACACTTTTCTTTATCACAGGCTCATTGAAAATAAAGAATTAGGGAGAAGGTGTAGACTGGCCCAAGGCTTCATGACTCTAGATTATGAGTTTCTTTATACGCACATTCCACTAATGTTAGAACTGCACTCTCAGATATAGTAGCCCCTAGCCATATGAGATTATTTAAATTAGAATTAATTAAAATTAAGTAAAATTAAAAATTCAGTTCCTCAGCCACTTTTCTAGTGCTCATTGGCTATGTATGTCTAATGGTGACTGTATTGGACAATGCAGATACAGAACATTTCCATCATCACAGAAAGTTCTGTTGCACAGTGCTGGTTTAGAGATACTATATAGAATTTTATTTTTAAATAAACAAGTGGAAAGTAAATTCTTTGTTTCTGTCTCTAGAATACCATCCTCAATGCATGCCGTATAAAAAATGAATGGCTGGAAACCCATTTAGAAGCTTCCATTAATGAGCTTTTTGAGCAGAAACAGCAATTGGAAGATATTGTGACTCCTATCCTCACAAAAATGGCTACACCACGTAAGTTTTGGATAAAAATGGTTTGAATGTCAGAAAAGATGAAAATTAGGTTCAATGTTGTTATTTCTGAGATAATCTGATTTCAACAATCTTCATTAAGTAGCCATTAACCTTGTTACAGGCACTAATCTGTAACTCAGTTTCATTGAGTTACAATATTAATAATAAAAATAATAACAGAGTTATTTCTACAGAGAATGTCTAGTACTAATCTTATTACCATCGTTAATCATTTAATTTTATGTAATTTACTATAGTTTTGACCAGTGATTTTCAACCAGGAAGACATGTCCTTCAAGGAGATAGAGCGGCAGAATTTGAAAAAAACGTTTTCAGTAATGTAACTCTATAGTTTGAAAAACGTATTGTGGGAATACTGTCCTGTCAGTGGAGAAGGTGCACTGTCAGAATCTTGGTGGCAGGTGTACCTAAGATTTTAAAAATATCAGCTTTATTGAGATAGAATTCTCATACCATAAAATTCACCATTTAAAAAATGAAAAATTCAGCGGTTTTCAGATTTATATAATCATCACCACTGTCTAATTTTAGAACATTTTACCAGCCCGAAGAGACACACCATATCTATTAGTAGTCACTGCCCATTCCTCCCTTCCACAAGTCCCTGGCAACTACTAATCTACTTTTTATCTCTATGGATTGCCTGTTCTGAACATTTCAGAGATAGATCATATAGTCTGTTGCCTTTTGTATCTGGCTTCTTTCGCTTTGTATAATGTTTTTAAGGTTTATCCATGTTGTAATATGTGTCAGTATTCCTTTTTATCGCTGAACAGTAGTCCATTGTATGGATTCAACTTTATCCATTCATTAATTGATGGACACTTGAGTTTCTACTCATTTGACTATTATAAATAATGCTGCCATGAATTTTTGTGTACAAATTTTTGTGTGGCCTCATGCTTTCATTTCTCTTGGGTATATATTTAGGAGTAGAATTGCTGGGGTCATATAGTACCTCTATTTCTGACCTTTTGAGGAATTGCCAAACTTTTTCCAAACTTCCATTCCATAAGCAATATATATGAGGATTCCAATTTCTCTACATTGTTATCAACATTTGTTATTATCTTAAAAAAAATTTTTTTAGCTGTTCTAGTGGGTATGAAGTATCTTAATGTAGTTCTGATTTGCATTTCCTTAATTACTGGTGACGTTAAACATTTTTTCAAGTGCTTACTGGCCATTTGTATATTTTCTTTGGAGAAATGTCTCTGAATCTTCTGCCCATTTTTAAGTTGAGTTGTCTTCTTATGTTTTTAATTGAAGTATAGGTGATTTATAATATTATATTAGTTTCAGGTGTACAGCACAGTAATTCAATATTTTAATAGAATTTAAAGTTACTACAAAATAATGGCTACACTTCCCTGTGCTGTTCAATATATCCTTGTTGCTTATTTATTTTATGTGTAGTGGTTTATATCTCTTAATCCCCTACCCCTATCTTGCCGCTCCCGTCTTCTCTCTCCCACTGGTGACCACTAGTTTGTTCTCTATATCTGTGAGTCTGTTTGTTTTGTTATATTCATTTGTTTTATAAAAATTTTTTTAGACTCCACATATAAGTGATAACATAGAGTATATGACTTTCTCTGACTTATTTCACTAAGCATAATACCCTCTAAGTCCATCCATGTTGTTGCAAATGGCAGAATTTCATTCTTTTTTATGGCTGAGTAAACATACATATATAAACACACACACACACACACACACACACACACACACACACACACACGACACATCTTCTTTATCCATTCATCTCTTTGTTTTGCTTTGTTTTTTTTGGTTTTATTTTTGGCCACGCCAGTCAGCTTGTGGGATCTTAGTTCTCCAATCAGGGATTGAACCTGGGCCCCGGCAGTGAAAGCACCAAGTCCTAACCACTGGACCACCAGGGAGTTCCATATCCATTTATCTCTTGAGGGACACTTAGGTTGCTTTTATATCTTGGCTATTGTAAATTGATGCTGCTATGAAAATTGGGATGCATGTTTCTTTTTGAATTAGTGTTTTCATTTTCTTCAGATACACACTCAGGAGTGGAATTGTTGGATCATATGGTAGTTCTATTTTTAGTTTTTTGAGGAATCTCCATACTGTTTCCACAGTGGCTGCACCAATTTACATTCCCACCAACAGTGCAAGAGGGTTCCCTTTTCTTTATATCCTTGCCAACATTTGTTATTTATGGACTTTTTGAAGATGGCCATTTTGACAGGTGTGGGGGGATAACTCATTGTGGTTTTGATTTGCGTTTCTCTGATGATTAGTGATGTTGAGTGTCTATTTGTATGCCTGTTGGCCATCTGTATGTCTTCTTTGGAAAAATGTCTGAATTTTGAAAAATTCAGATCTGCCCATTTTTTAATCAGACTTTTTGGTTTTTTGATGTTGAGTTGTCTGAGCTGTTTGTATATTTTGCATGAAAACCCCTTTTTGGTTGCATCATTTGCAAATATTCTGTAGGTTGTCTTTCCTTTTTGACCATGGTTCCCTTTGCTGTGCAAAAGCTTTTAAGTTTAATTAGGTCCCCTTTGTTTATCTTTGCTTTTGTTTCTTTTGCCTTTGGAGACAGATCCAAAAAATTATTGCTGTGATTTATGCCAAACAGTGTTCTGCCTATGCTGTGTTCTAGGAGTTTTATCATTTCAGGTCTTAAATTTAGATCTTTAATCCATTTTGAGTTTATTTTTATATATGGTGTGAGAAAATGTTCTAATTTCATTCTTTTACATGTAGCTGTCCAGTTTTCCCAGCACCACTTATTGAAGAGACCATCTTTTCTCCATTGCATAGTCTTGCCTCCTTTGTCAGATTAATTGACCATAAGTGTGTGGGTTTATTTCTGGGCTCTTTGTTCTGTTCCTTGATCTAATTTTCTGTTTTGTGCCAGCACCATGCTGTTTTGAATTACTGTAGTTTTGTAGTATACTCTGAAGTCAGGGCATGTGATACCTCCAGCTTTGTTCTTTTATCTCAAGATTGCATTGGAAAATTGGAGTATTTTGTGGTTACATATAAATTTTAGTATGATTTGTTCTAGTTCTGTGGAAAATGCCATTGGTATTTTGAGAGAGATTGCATTAAATCTGTAGATTGCTTTGTGTAGTGTGGACATTTTAACAATATTAATTCTTCTAATCCAGGAACATGGGATGTCTTTCCATTTCCATTTATCATCTTCAAATTCTTTCATTCATGTTTTATAGTTTTCAGAGTATAGGTTTTTCACCTCTGAGGTTACAGTTATTCCTAGGTTTTCTTAATGCGATTTTGAATAGGATTTTAAACAGGCTTGTTTTCTTGCTTTCTCTTTCTGATAGTTCATTATTAACATATGGAAAAGCAACAGATTTTTGTATATTAATCTTGTATCCTGCAACTTTACTGAATTCATTTATTCTAATAGTTTTTTGGTGGAGAATTTAGGGTTTTCTATATAGAGTATCTTGTCATATGCAAATAGTGTCTTTATGTCAAAGAGTGTTTTTCCTATGTTTTCCTCTTAGAGTTTTATAGTGTCTGGTCTTACATTCAGGTCGTTAATCCACTTGAAGTTTATTTTTGTGTATGGTGTTAGAGAGTGTTCTAATTTCATTCTTTTACATGTAGCTGTCCAGTTTTCCCAGCACCACTTATTGAAGAGGCTGTCTTTTCTCCACTGTATGTTCTTGCCTCCTTTGTCGTAAATTAGGTGCCCATATGTGCGTGGGTTTATCTCTGGGCATTCTATCCTGTACCATTGATCTATACTGGTTTTGTGCCAGTACCATACTGTCTTGATTACTGTAGCTTTATGGTATAGTTTGAAGTGGGTGAGCCTGATTCCTCCAACTGCATTTTTCTTTCTCAAGATTGCTTTGGCTATTTGGGGTCTTTTGTGTTTCCATATGAATTGTAAAATTTTTTGTTCTAATTCTGTGAAGAATGCCATTGGTAGTTTGATAGGGATTGCATTGATACTGTAGATTGCTTTGGGTAGTATAGTCATTTTCACAATATTGATTCTTCCAATCCCAGAACATGGTATATTTTTCCATCTGTTTATGTCATCTTTGATTTCTTTCATCAGTGTTTTATAGTTTTCTGAGTACAGGTCTTTTGCCTCCTAGGGCAGGTTTATTCCTACGTATTTTATTCTTTTTGTTGCGATGGTAAGTGGGATTGTTTCCTTAATTTCTCTTTCTGATTTTATATTGTTGGTGTATAAGAATGCCAGAGATTTCTGTGCATTAATTTTGTATCCTGCAACCTTACCAAATTCATTTATTAGTTCTAGTAGTTTTCTGGTGGCATCTTTAGGATTTTCTATGTATAGTATCATGTCATCTGCAGACAGTGACAGTTTTACTCCTTCTTTTCCAATTTGGATTACTTTTATTTCTTTTAAGACTTCCAAAACTATGTTGAATAATAGTGGCAAGAGTGGACATCCTTATCTTGTTCCTGATCTTAGTGGAAATGCTTTCAGTTTTTCACCATTGAGGATGATGCTTGCTGTGGGTTTGTCATATATGGCCTTTATTATGTTGAGGTAGTTTCCCTCTATGCCCATTTTCTGGAGAGTTTTTATCATAAATGGGTGTTGAATTTTGTCAAAAGCTTTTTCTGCATCTATTGAAGTGATCATATGGTTTTTATTCCTTAATTTGTTAATATGGTGTATCTCATTGATTGATTTGCGTATATGTAAGAATCCTTGCATCCCTAGGATAAATCTTACTTGATCATGGTGTTTGATCCTTTTAATGTGTTGTTGGATTCTGTTTGCTAGTATTTTGTTCTGGATTTTTGCATCTATGTTCATCAGTGATATTGGTCTATAATTTTCTTTTTTTGTGATATCTTTTCTGGTTTTGGTATCAGGGTGATGGTGGCTTTGTAGAATGAATTTGGGAGTGTTTCTCCCTCTGCAATTTTTTGGAAGAGTTTGAGAAGGATGGGTGTTAGTGCTTCTCTAAATGTTTGATAGA